GACCATAAACCGTTGATTCCAATTTTAATCAATCAAACTCTGGATAACATTCAAAATCCACGGCTTCAGCGTTTGAAAGAAAAACTATCTGGATATGTTTTTAGAACAGAGTGGGTCAAGAGTCAGAATCATTTGATCCCAGATGCATTATCAAGGGCTCCTACAATGTATCCAGAAGATACGGATTTGTTGGCAGAAGAATCAAAAACACATTTGATTTCTCTCATCAGCCGTCAATTGTGTGAAATAAATATACAAGATGATATAGAATCTCAAGACCCCATCATATTGGATATAAAAAAATCTGGGAAAGAAGATCCTGAATATCAATTACTAATTGACCATATCAAACGTGGATTTCCAGATTCGAAAAGATGTATTGAAAGTTGCCTCACGCCTTATTGGAACGTGAAAGATGAATTGAGCGTGGAAGATGAGCTAATACTCAAAGGTTGTCAGATCCTTATTCCAAAAACCATGAGAAAATTAGTTTTGCAAAGACTTCATGATTCTCATCAAGGTGTGGAGAGAACTAAACGTCGAGCCCGTCAAATAGTATATTGGCCTTCTATGTCTAACGATATTAAAAATTTGGTGGAATGTTGTGAATTATGTCAAACTTGCCGACCATCTCTCCAGAAGGAAACAATAATTCAAAATGCAGTACCAGAGCGTCCTTTTATAGATGTTTCTGCCGATTTATTCACGTGTACCGGTAAACATTATATGGTATATGTTGACCGTTTGTCTGGTTGGCCAATTGTGTGTCACTATGGTAATAGAGATCCAAATAGCTCGAAACTCATTGAAGATTTGAAAACAATTTTCACAGACACAGGTGTACCAATACGATTTCGATCAGATAATATGCCCTTCAGCTCCTACGAATTCCAAACATTCCTCAAAAACTGGAAGATTTTTCATGCCCCATCTTCGCCATATTATGCTCAGAGTAATGGTCATGCAGAAGCAGGGGTCAAAGCCATGAAGTCGCTAATCACGAAATGTAGTGAAAATGGGCAATTGAATAACGACAAGTTTTGTTTGGGGCTGTTGGAATGGAGAAATACACCTAAAGCTAATGGTCGCTCTCCTGCCCAAATACTTTATGGTCATCAATTGAGATCTTTAGTGCCCGCTCATAGAAAGTCGTTTTCTCCTCAGTGGCAACTTAGTGCAGATTTGTGCGAGAAGAAAGCCATGACTCAGTTGAGGTATCAGAAAGACATCTATAACCAGCACGCTAAGGATTTACCTCAAATTTCGTTAGGAAATACGGTGAGAATACAAAATCCGAGGACTAAGTTATGGGATAGACTAGGAGTGGTAACAGAGATAGGTAGATACAGAAGCTATACAGTTAAATTACCAAGCGGAAGAGTACTTAGAAGAAATCGGAGATTTTTACTCCCAGTCCCCGGAAGGATAGTGGAGAATGGGTTATTATCCGAAGTAAAAAGGGGAGATGATGTGATATGATAATATTGTTAATAGTTATGAGTTGTGGATACACCCTATAGTGGGACATAAAGGGTATTGACAGTGATTGTCATATTGATTGATTGGTTTTGAATAAAGAGTTATACTTAATAAACCACTTTCATCTATATTCAGAACCTTACAATCACCCTATTAAAATAAATACAAAAAGCACAATGGTCATAAAATGAACAACAATTGTAGATTTCGGGAGAAAAACAACTACTTCCCTGGCTAATGCCACGTAGAACATTGAATTGCATCCTATCCCGGAATCTATGCATCGACTCGTATAAACGAATACTGATACAAGTGATTCTTTCCTGAATGCCAATTGATTTCGATTTAGCCAGGCCACGCTAGACACCTACAGACTGGTTTCGAGCTCTTTGACTCTCATCAGTGCAGGGCATCAGTCTCCAGCCAGCAGTCCTAAGACCGCCGACTAAGCGTAGCCTAGCCAATCGAAAACCAAGTCGGCATTATATTACCCCAGAGTCGTCTTTCATAGACAATATGAAAGCAACGTCATCTGAGTAGAACAGAAGGAATGAACCACTCCTAATTTGAAATTCCCATACGGGCGTGGTTGGTTGCCCGACTGGCGTAATATCAACTACAAAATAGCCACAATGCTTGAAGTGGAATTAAATGTTAAATAAATACAAAAAGCTCAGAGTCATATCCTCACAATTTTCATAAAATAAACAACGATGGTAGATTTCGGGAGAAAAAAAACTACTTTCCTGGCTAATGCCACGCAGAACATTGAATTACATCCTCCTGAAATCTATGCATCGACTCGTATAAACGAATACTGATACAAGTGATTCTTTTCCTGAATGCCTTTTGATTTCTATTTAGCCAGGCCACGCTAGACATCTACAAACCGGTTTCAATTTAATTTTCTGCGTGGCATTATATAGACAAAAAAGTAGTTGTTGTTCTCTCAAAATCTACCATTGTTTTTCATTCTATGACAACACCATCACCCTGTCGCAGGCCAGGGCCGACTCGAGCCGATGCGATCACCAACAAAGTGCGATCTGCGAAGTTGGCATCGACTGTGCGTTGCGCCAACTTTTCCGTCTCGGGGTCCATGAATATCAATTCTTTCTATGGAATTTTATCGAAGAAATTTCGACATATTTCATTTTGTGACCCTCCCAGAAAAATATTGAGTACGCCTCTGAAGTCGCGAATTTGGTTCATTATCGACGTATGTCAATGAAAGTTCGAATATTTTTATTGAATTGCTCAGAGAAAAATTTGTATGCCCCTGAAATTCACCTAATTACATTCTCATTTCGACTTTCTGATTCCAGATCGCCCAGATAAAAATTGGGGGCGCACCTGGAGTGATATCTCCATCTTGTAAAATAGAAAACAATTCATATAACTTTTCTGGATTTTTTGCCCTCTAGAGTAAATTTTAGTACAACACCAATATTGTAATTTGTATTTCCTTTCGGAAAATGTGAGAAAAAAATTTGGATTCAGACATTTTCTGCTGATAGTAATACCAAACATCGGAATGGATGTCTTCAAAGGTATGGTTACTCCTGACAACTCAGCGAGCACAAACATCCCTGGGATGTTTTGGGATGTTTTGAAAATGTTGGCATGAAGATGTTATTTTGAGACGTAATATGCACTGACCAACGAGGTCTTTGAAGGATATTGAAGTATTGTTTTTTTTTCTTCTGTGGAATTTCTTTGTTTGCCTACTGAGAGGTATCCCTGATGGGATGTTTTAGAAATGTAGGCATGAGGATGTTTTTTTGAGGCGTAATATGCACTTCCCAAAGAGGTCTTAAAAGGATATTGAAAGTATTGTTTTTGTTCTTTTGTGCCCTTTCTTTGTTTGCCCCACCACAACGTCTCATGCTTACGTCACAATACGATGAATTCTGATTTGTTTTCGATTTTGTTCTTCTTGTTCGCAATTGGCATTCGCGTTTGCAGCGTGTCACGCTTACATCACGCTGCTAACGAACAGAAAGGAATTTGGTGAAGTTTATTGTGTTAGAAGACTTATTTAGTTTGTAATAATGACCATCAGATGCAAGATGTGTTGTTCGGTGCCTCAGTGTAATCAATATATAAAAGTACGAATTCATCAATACACAGCTTCTCCGCAGTTGCAAAATTATGCATTGTGGAGAACATTTCAAAAATTGGGAAACCTATCTCCAATTATATGTCTGTGTGTAGTAAGCACTACTCAGAAACCGATTAAGGAGGTAATTTCATACCAAGAAAATATTTTTATGTTCAATCTATTTTTAATGCATTTTTTCATTCAAGGGAAATGGAATCCTAATGCAAAAGTTCATTTTGACAAAAGGCTTCAGAAAAGTACCTCGAAAATGGTTTTTTACAGCGATTTGATGTGCGCAAGACGCGTTGAAAATGTTCTGTTGTGTCCATGAAGAGGCTTTAAAAAGAATAGGGAGAAGGTAGTTTTGTGACATATCAAGGACATCTCGATAATTGCCGCCTGCGGCGGACATTGGCTGTTCTATAATAGTTCTATTCATGTGTGAACAGAACATCGCAGTGGAGGTTCAATGTCTCGAAATCTCGTACTTTTAACATGTCTGAGATGTTTTTGTGCTCGCTGGGAAGATTGTTGGGCACAGTGGGATCAGCTTTTCTAAAGAAAAGGCATGCTTGTGTTTTGTTTGCATTGAAATCTACCAAGTTATTGGATCCCCATTCGGGAATTATTGTTGCCAAGTCCATATTTATAATGTCAACATTTCTCCCTCGTTCGTTTCTGATTTGCCTTGCTGGTATTGGAGCCCTGGAAGACAAGGCGGTATGGAGGGTACTATCATCCGCGAAGCTGTGTACTGGACATGAAGTTGCTCCCAACAAATCGTTGATATGGAGTAGAAATAGTGGTGGTGCTAGAATTGATCCTTGCGGAACACCAGCATTTATGATGGGGGAGTCAGATGAAACTCCGTCTACCACTACATGGAGATACCTGTTCGAGAGAAAACGAGCTAGCAGGGAACATAGCTGGGGAGGCGAGCCATAAGATGGAAGCTTGGCGAGGAGTCCGTGGTGCCAGACTCGATCGAATGCCTTGGAGATATCAAGTCCCACGGATAAGGTTTCACCATATTTTTCAATAGATTGCTGTCATATATATATGTGGGACGTAAGCAAGCAGGTCACCAGCAGTTGATCTCTGATGATGGAAGCCATATTGCCTATCGTTGATGATGCCTGAATGTTCCAGGTATTTCATGAGCTCGATGTTGATAGTTATCTCCATGATCTTTGAAATAATAGATAGCAGTGCGATCGATCTGTAGTTGCTGGGTAGGGTCTCTTTACCTTTTTGAGGATTTGGTTGTACTCTTGCAATCTTCCAGTTGGACGGAAATATTCCCAATTTGTAAGAGTAGTTGAACAACTTACAGAGAACAGGTGTTAGTTTGGGAGCACATTTCTGATACTTTCCATGTTAAATTGCGTGAAAAAAAAAACAGTCGCAAAATCAAAATAGTTTATTTATCCGCCGCAGTCTCTTGTAAACCGGCATTCCTCAACATCTCCGCAAAAACTCCACCTGGCCGTCTTCTCAGCTCCCCTGGCGCATCGTACTCCACTATCCTGCCCCTGTCCAACACCATCACCCTGTCGCAGGCCAGGACCGACTCGAGCCGATGCGCAATCACCAACAAAGTGCGATCGGCAAAGTTGGCGTCGACAGTGCGCTGCGCCAACTTCTCCGTCTCGGGGTCCATGTTGGCCGTGGCCTCGTCCAGAACGACGATGGCGTTGCGCCTGATGATGGCGCGCGCGATGCAGAGAAGTTGGCGCTGACCGGTGCTGAAGTCGGTATCGGAAACGTCGGTCGAGAGACTGGGGGTTATGGAGTCGAGTTGGACCTGGAAGCACAAAGTTGATTGATTGTCTTTATTACCCCAAGAATGCAACGGCTTATAGTATCCCAGCAAATATTTTTGATATGGGGCATCAATGGCCTAATATATATTTTCCATACCTGACATCAGCGGCCCAGTAAATGGTCCCATATGCGGGAGTCTATACAGGGTGTAAATTTGAAAACTTTCAATGCGAATATCTCGCGAAATAAAAAAGTTAGAAAAACGCCGCTTGGCAAAAATGCTAAAGAGTTGAGGGGAACTAGAACCACCATCCCAGACAGCACCAGATATTCCATGAATATTCATAGAATATTCTTTTTGGATATTGCCAATATTCATGAACATGCCAGGGATATACATATCAACTATGGAATATCCCCTGAATGTGCTGGTTGGAAAAATTTTGTATATTCCCGGAATACACAAGGAATATTCCCTATATATTCAGAATGTACCTATAATATTCTAAGAATATTCAGATAATATTCGGAATATTCATGGAATAATACAGGAATATAAATAAATGAATATTCCGGGAATATTCCGTAATACATATTCATAATTAAAAAAAGCTGACCCAAGATGGGTTCGAACTCGGGACTGTCAGACTGTCAGATCAACGCCTTAACCACTTGGCCAGTAATCGAGTTGAACAATAATGTACATTGTTCAGAAGGGAACCATAAACACTTCCAGTTCCATATGGGCTCTTTTCATGTACGATGATCTGATTGAGTACTTTGATCACTATCAAAATTGTGGAGACGACTTTTTGTTTTTGATCGCTGGTAACATAACCACTTCACTTTGAAATACGATGGACTTCTACCACAGATTCCAAAATCAATGTTTAATACTCACATCTATGAAATTGTGATTGGTTAATTTTCATACTTTACAATTTCATTGAAACACATGGGAATATTATTGAATTATTCCATGAATATACAGGAACAGAATATTCAATTGGGAATATTCCCTGCACTATCCAACTGGAATATTCTAGGAATATTCACTTCAGAATATTCCTTCTGGAATATTCCCTGTATATTCATTTTGGAATATTACTAGAATATTCAAATTTGAATATTCCTTGAATGTTCCAGAGGCACGTATATATTCTAAGAATATTCGAAGGATATTCGGAATATATTCTTCCCTTTTAGCATATTTAGAGAATATTCTAGGAATATCCAGTGCTGTCTGGGATATTTCAGTGAAGGGATGAGTCACCCTGTCAGCGCAACACACCCCAACTTTGAAATGTCAAATGGCACTACCTCTTTTGTGCGAGAAACATTAATTCGAATGTCTACATTTGAAAACTTTCAATGCGAATATCTCGCTAAATAAAACAGTTAGGAAAACGCCGTTTGGCACAAATGCTACAGAGTTAGGGGGAACTAGAACCACCATACTTCAGTAAAGGGATGAGTCACCCCGTCGGCGCGACACACTCCATCTTTGAAATGTCAAATGGCACTACCTCTTTTGTGATACCTCAAATGAACGATCTCAGTCAGTAGTATTCACATGTACAAGACTTATTTTCCACCCACTACAGGGTGAACGGAAAACATAAAGTCGAATAAAATAAAATGCAGAATGCCGATATATTCCAAGAGATGTGTTCCAAAATGTTAGAATCGCATTTGAACATCGATTATACTATTGCTTACAACAGAATGGAATGCATTTTGAACATCTGATCAAATAAAATATCCTTTTAACACAATTTATTTTATTTTATTCGACTTTTATATTTTTCGTACACCCTGTAGTGGGTGGAAAAAAAGTCTTGTACAGGTGAATACTACTGACTGAGACTGTTCATTTGAGGCATAACAAAAAAGGTAGTGCCATTTGACATTTCAAAGTTGGGGTGTGTCGCGCCGACGGGATGACTCATCCCTTGACCGAAATATGGTGGTTCTAGTTCCCCTTAACTCTTTAGCATTTTTGCCAAACGGCGTTTTTCTAACTTTTTTCTTTCGCGAGATAGTCGCATTGGAAGTTTTTAAATTTACACCCTGTATATCAGTACACTGCGGCCGGCAGCTGGTCTCAGTGCCGGGTACCCAGCAATCATATTCAGTTCCCCGGCAAAAGGCCAGTACAACATAATCGACACATTGAGTTTTCCATAGCAAGCCCAGCATATACATAAATGATGGGACTGTAATGGCCAATTAACGACAGAAAAAGAGAGGACCACATTAATTCGACATAAACAAACTAGTACGCGATCACCACACACGGGAGTCAGACATCTTAGTCACATATAATATTGATCAGCTGATTGTTGATGTAGACGTTCCCAGAACATCCACCAGGGGGACGAGTAGCGAACATGAAATTGGCCAGCAAAGGGGCCAGATCTCGTTAGTATTTAATTAGCTCCAGACATTTCACCATCACAAGGCCATCATCGTATTTTTAACTTTTGGTTACTTGGCATAGGAAAATCATCGGCCCATTACCAATACCCCGGCATCGTCTTTTTCCCACACTAGCCTACACTAGGCTGGACTTCTCCCGCTAGTTCAATGTTTGCTGGGATAGTTATACAGGGTGGGCCACTAGTAACGCCTCGGTCTCTAGAAGGCTAACCACTCATCTTCTTGGAATTCTTCCTATCTAGGAAGTTGCATGTCAACATAGGCTACCATTTAAAATTATTTCGAAACACACAGGGTGTCCCCAAAAACCATAAAACACTGAAGTTAAACTTTTTTCTATCGAACACCCTATATATTATTTCATTTTGAGATTCTCCCTGATGAGCTGATTTCAACGACCCATCATACTTGGGGTCTAGCAGTTATAATTACTGAAATATAGGGTGTGAAAAATCGAGATTTTCCAAGTTCAAGCATTTTTTGTGTCGAAACTATTCATAATTTGTCAAAACGGCTTACATGTCCCTATCTCAACTTTTGATCAACTATCTACTGACATTTAATTGAAACAAATACAGGGTGGTGCAGAATTCAGAATCTTGATCACCCGGTATATGTTCCAATTAAATATCAGTAGATAGTTAATCAAAAGTTGAGATAGGGACATGTAAGCCGTTTTGACAAATTATGAATAGTTTCGACACAAAAAATGCTTGAACTTGGAAAATCTCGATTTTTCACACCCTATATTTCAGTAATTATAACTGCTAGACCCCAAGTATGATGGGTCGTTGAAATCAGCTCATCAGGGAGAATCTCAAAATGAAATAATATATAGGGTGTTCGATTGAAAAAAGTTCAACTTCAGTGTTTTGTGATTTTTGGGGACATCCTGTATGTTTCGAAATAATTTCAAATGGTAGCCTATGTTGACATGCAACTTCTCAGAGAGGAAGAATTCCAAGAAGATAAGTGGTTAGCCTTCTAGAGACCGAGGCGTTACTGGTGGCCCACCCTGTATATATAGCTCAGTAAAACTGGTAACGATTAGGACCCAATCCGGGAAAAATTCAAGTAGTCGGTTTCTCTGTAGTTTTATATGTTATTAACGGTGCTGAATTCGCATCTGAATTTTGCAAACAAAATTTCCTGGAGCGTTCCGAGATATTCGTGGAAAACAGCGAAATTTTCGCACTTTTTTCGGTTTTTTGTCCGTAACTCGGAAATCATACATTATATCGGAAAGACCGCCCTATAAAAAGTTGGAGTAGATTAAATTTCCTAGATGAAATTGTTCTTGCTCATGAACGTAGGACTGAATGGTGCGGCGATAGAGCAAGTTGAAAATTGACCAAATTTGGGTACTTTTCAAAAAATAGCGTTTGTCGTCGATTTTCTCAGATAATTAATATTATACATCATGCACATATTGGAAGAGCATCGAATATCCTAGTCCCTTTCTAAAAGAATGCGAGAAGATTGGATTCATCCAATCAAACGGGAGGACTTCGGGGAGGACTGGTCTGACATGTTGACGAAATATGATCGTGTGTATTGTAGACATTTTCAATCTATTAGCAGTTTTAGCTTCTATTGCAGAAGTGGCAGAAGGAATTTCAACAAGAAATGACAAAATTTCACAATGAAAATTAGGTGAGAGTACTATAGGTATTCACCTGAAAAATCATATTCCTTCGTCTCTCGCTGCATTTTTTGTGTATTGTACAACGGTACAATGAAAAGGCATGCTTGAACTAATGAATAGCGCAAAAAAACGATTCGTGTGCCAAAATATTGTGAAAAACTATTTCAATCCTTTGATTCCTCTGTGAACAAATAAAAAAAGTGAGGTTGTGGTTCAATGTTTCACAGAAAAGTGAGGTTGTGTTCCAATATTTCACCTCCAGGGTCGGTCATCGTGCACGCGACCTATTAGCCAGGAAAGTATGACTTTCTCATTTCTCAAAACAAGGGGCCTTGTTAAACCACATTTGACAGATATTTCCCTATTGTTTTCAACTACAGTTTTCAAATTGTTTAGATATTTCGCAATACCTACCTTATGCAATGTCTTCCAGATTTCTTCGTCTGTGAACTCGTTCGAAGGATCCACGTTGGTCCTGGAATATAAAAAATGGAAAATGTTATCTCGATTCAAAACGTCTGTCTACTAATTTGAATGAAGTCATATAACCTGTTTCTGAGAGATATGATTCCCATATCACTGATACAAATGATTTACTTTTCCTATACATTTCAATCTTCATATTGGTGAGTTATATTTTTATATCATGATACATCATATTATTTATCAGATTTGAGAGATTGTCAATTTTCTCAAATTCAAAGAATTTTTATTTTTCATGCTCTCCTTTCGGATGTTCAACAGATATAATTGAATGTTCGACGTGGCAAATAGCCAGGAAAGTAGTTGTTTTCTGTTGAATATTCAGAATGATGTTATGTGCAAATACATACAGTGTGTCCACCTTAAGGACTTACCACCCCTGTAAAATCGTTATTATCCGACCAATTTCAAGAAACCTTTTTTTGTTGGATAGGTATTTGAAATGCCCATCCAACGAGAGAGTGATCTAATTCTTGGACTGTTATCGTGGCCAACTGTGACAAATTTCAATGACCCATATTCCAGAAAGTACTATTGGGGATTTTTTCCACGGAACTTGATAATGGATTCTGAATCAGTTCCCCTCGAAATATACCTGTACCGATTTTCATCATCATAAAACACAGGGTGTCCTAAAAATGAATCATCATTATCTTCAAATAGGTGATCAGCAAATGTAGTTCTGTGGTTTCTCTAGAAAGAAATAATCACAAATTATCATCGAGGATTATTTCAAAAATACCTGTACCAATTTTCGTCATTTGAATAGACAATGTGTCTGAGAAAAAAATTAAAAAGGATAGGTGAGCAATATTTTTCATCCTGATAATTCTTCACTCAAAATAAAAAGATGAAACAGGATCACTTGGAACATACCTGTACCGATTTTCATCATCATTAAACACGGGGTGTTCGAGAAATCAAATTAATATATTTTTTTAGTTGATGAAAAAATATTGCCCACTTTTTCTTTTTAATTGTTTTCTCATACACATCGTATTTTTGAATGATGAAAATCGGTACAGATATGTTCAAAGTGATCCTCAATAATAATGTGTCATCAATTCTCCTCAAAAATACCACAATACTACATTTTTTCATCACCTATTAAAAAAACATAATTCGTTCTTTCGGACACCCTGTGTTTTATGATGATAAAAATCAGTAAAGGTGTTTTTCAAGTGATCGTGATTCAGAATCCATCATTGTTTTTTGTGAAAAAAAAAAATCCCTAATAGTACTTTCTCAAATATGGGTCAATAAAGTCGGTCGCAGTTGGACTCTTGTTGGATGGATTTCAAATACCTTTTCAACAAAAAAAAGTTTTTTGAAATCGGTCAGATAATAACAATTTTACAGGGGTGGTAAGTCCTTGAGGTGGACACACTGTATATTATCTGAAGGAGGATGCATATTCTGAACTTTAGAAGATTAAGTTTTCAAATTCTTTTCGTGTGTGATCAATAGATATAATTCAATGTTCGTCGTGGCATATCGCCAGGAAAGTAGTTGTTTTCTGTTGAATGAACCGAGATAGAATAGATATGTTTATCACATACAGAATGCGAGTTCTCAATGTATTTCTTCATTTGTGAATCTTTTTTTTTTTTAATTTTGTTCATAATTCATCTGAGAATATTCATTTTCAATAAACAATTACCCTAGCCGTGTCTCATTTTCAAGGCCAAATATTCTTCGCTAGAGCTCGATCACCTTAAATTACGCGAAAAAAAACATACCTGATGGTCCCCGAAAACATGATGGGATCTTGGGGGATGATCGAAATGTGCCTTCTTAGGTATTGGAGGTCCAAAGATTTCGTTGGGACGTCATCGATGGTGACGTCACCCTCAAAGTCGTACAATCTGAAGAGCGTCGATATTATGGACGATTTGCCTGCTCCAGTCCTAAACGAATTCATTTATGAAATTGATGTTGAGAAGAAAAAATATAGTATATTGTACGAGCACGGATTGATAGTCATTTCCCACGAGGATGGGAATGCTGCAAACTATACGACTGGGAACTCAGCATTCTGTGCGAGTTATAAACTATACTTTTTCTACGGCTGTATCTGATAACAGCAAAATTCTTTATTTCTATGGCTTGTAGCCATCTGATTTTCTCTTAAGTATAATGCTCATATATTAGACAGAGCTGAGACATTGCTAGGAATTTGATATTTCATGGGAGATGAGATTTTGTGAAATAACACAATGAAGTCATTGTGATATCAGATACGATTATGCAATAGGCGAGTGGAATAATATTTTCATATCATGAATAGAATCATCACTCAAATACCTTCCAGTCGGTCAATTTTTAGATGCTAAAATCATCAAAAATGCCACGGTAATTTTCAAACGGCTAGAAATTTACCGCCAGTATAAAAACTGATGTCACGATTTCGTAAGTAGGGACAGACCATATCACACTTGCCATGTTTTGAAATACGATTGGGAACTTCAGAAATATTAGTTATTCATAAATTATTCGTGAATTCTCAACTGAGTATTGGTAATATTCCTAATTAGCAATAAAAAACAATTGCCTCGACATGCTTCCTTATGATTTGTGGCTTATATCAATTCAACCTAGAGGACATTTGAATCGGTGAACGTGACAACCCCGCACACGACTTGTGGGCGTGGTTTTGTCAGTTCTCAGCAGTCAGAACAATGTTGCCAAGTCTCCAACATTCACATAATATTTTATTATTTTTTTTATGTTCTGGTTCCCACGAATAGGAATATCCTGTAATGTTCAGAGAACATCGTCAGAACCAAGGGAAATAAGGTAGGAATTGGTGTTTTTCTTGAATTTCTGGAGGTTACATGCCTCGTGGAACACCTCCCTTGGCAATGTGTTCCAGACCCTCGCTGTTCGTTGGATGAACGAGTCTTTGGAAAGAGATGTTCTGCAGGTCTCCAAAGTGACCACGAAGGGGTGCGAAGCCTCAACTCGAGGGGTTAATCTCGCGGGGACTGCCAATAGAGGAACAATTGTTGATATTTCGAAAGAGCATCGTCCATGAAAATATCTATAAAATATAGCCAGATCGCCAACTTTTCTACGGTGTTCTAGGGAAGTGAGTGAGTTTCTGAACGAGGCATCACCCACGAGACGAATTGCCCGTTTTTGGACAAAATCCAACAGTTTCAGGGTATGTTTGGGTGCTGTACTCCAAATATGGGAACAGTATTCCAGGACAGATCGGACAGGTCTGTGCCTTATAGATCATAAGCAGCTGACTGAAAGTGAAATAGCTCCTGGCCCGAAACAGAAAACTGAGATGCACTTTTAGCAATTGATCTAACGTGATTTTCCCAAGAAAGGTTATTGCTGATAGTAATACCATCGAAATGGATGTCTTCAAATGTATGGTTACTTCTAACAAGCTTATATTGGGCACAGTGAGATCGGCTTTTCTAGAGAAAAGGCATGTTTGTGTTTTGTTTGCTTTGAAATCTACCAAGTAATTGGTTCCCCATTCGAAAATTGTTGCCAAGTCCATATTTATGTTGTCAACATTTTTCCCTCGTTCGTTTCTGTCTTGCCTGGCTGGTATTAGAGCCTTGGAAGTGAAGGCGGTATGGAGGGTACTATCATTCGCGAAGCTGTGGTTGATATGGAGTAGAAATAGTCTTTGGAAATAGTGTTGGTGCAAGAATTGATTCTTGCGGAACACCAGCATTTATAATAAGAGAGTCAGATGAAACTCCGTCGACCACTACATGGAGAGACCTGTTTGAGAGAAAACTAGCTAGCAGAGAACATAGCTGGAGAGGCAAGCCATAAGATGGATGCTTGGCGAGGAGTCCGTGGTGCCAGACTCGATCGAATGCCTTGGAGATATCAAGTGCCACGGCTAAGGTTTCACCATATTTTCCAATAGATTTCTTCCATATATATATATGAGACGTGAGCGAGCAGGTCACCAGTCGATCTCTGATGACGGAAGCCATATTGCCTATCGTTGATAATACCTGAATGTTCCAGGTATTTCATGAGCTCGATGTTGATAGCTTTCCCCATGATCTTTGAAACAATAGATAGCAGTGCGATAAGTCTTTAGTTGCTAGGTAGGGTCTTTTTGCCTTTTTTAGGAACTTGTTGTACTTTCGCAATTTTCCAGTTGGACGGGAATATCCCAAATTCGTAAGAGTAGTTGAACAACTTGCAGACAACAGGTGTTAGTTCGGGAGCACATTTCTTGAGAACATTCGGTGGGATTCCGTCGGAGCCATAAGCTTTGTTGGTGTTGAGACCCAATAAAAACTTCCTTATAGTATGTTGGCGAAAGGTGATCTCGGGCATATGACTGTCAATTGGCGTTATGTTTGGAGGTTGTTTTTCCGGTGAATTCAGAGTAGAATTTCCAGCAAATAAATGCACAAAAATGTTGGCTTTCTCCTGGGCAGTTGTATCTAGTGTTCCATCTTCCTTCCTAATTCATGCATCCGTGTTTGGTGTTCAGGATTGTTAGACTTTTTAATGAATTATGAATGAATCGCGATGTATATCTATTGTTATTTCGTCTGAGAGCCCACTCGCAAATGTACGAGTGTCTGTTATGAGCCCCACGATTCGCGATTCCATTCATTCAACCATGTTTGGCGTTTAGGATTGTCGGCGTTCACTTCTCAATGATTTATGAATAGTTCTCAGAGTATATCTACATCTAGGGTTCCTTGATGTAAATTGACGTATTTGTCATCCTAACAGGGTACGGATAGATCCTCGTCTCCTCTCACTCTAAAGTGTTTGGGAAACATCTTCATAGTTTCATCTTTATTCATTTCTGGAGATGAACACTAGATTTCTGACATTTGTTGTTTTTTAGGGTATATTGAGGTCATGGGCGTATCATACATAATTTCCACATGTAATTTCTCATTCAACTCTACATATTATATCCAAATGATGATGATAATTTTTGAGTTCTCGATTTTTCAACTCCAGCATAATCTTTGTGAGGCAGTGAGCAAATTTTTCTGAAAGTTCAATACGTTGAACCGTACCTATCAATAAATGAATTTTGATTTCAGATTAAGCCTTATGGTTGAGAAATGGTGAAAAATTTCATGTCATGTGTGCTGTATAATGATATATTTATGTTGGGAGTCATTTTTGCAGTTTTCCACGAATACATTTGATATTTCCTGAATGTAGGTATAATTTTTTAAATGGTAAGGCATATGCCTCTTGTTTTAATCCTCCGTTTCAATCAAAACTGTTTCTACTGAAATGCATTCAAAAACTTCCCAATCAGCACCAGACATCTTAAAGACGTACATTTTACGACTTACTTACGTCTTCACGTCCAGGGACGTATAAAGTACGTCTTTAAGATGTAAATTCATGTACATCTTAAAGACGTACACGAATTTACGTCTTTAAGACGTACATTTTAGGTCGTATCCACGTCGTTCATCCTTCCAAAACAGAAATGAATAATGTCGTATGAATAAACTATGAAATTGAAATTTTGAAAGATCTCTTTTAACGCCTATGAATGTGACGTGCCAGCAATGTCATGTCAGGGACGCCAATACTCGAAACCAAAGTCACTAGATAATTAAAAGAGAAAGGAGCTATGATCTGTCCGTACCCTCTAAGATGACAAATACGTCAGTTTGCATCAAGGGACCCTATCTACACCTACACCCGCAAATGTACAGTGTGTCCAGTTTTCGATGCTTTTGCATGATATCTCAGTTATCTTTGGAGATAGAACCTTGCGGTTTTCGCGGTCCTGTGCCACTTTTTTGTGAAACTCAAGATGGCCTAATCAGATTTTGCAGGACTGTTTCCGTTTATGAGATACAGGGCGATTTTGGAAATTTACACTTTTTGGACCCCCTCTATATCTACGAAGTTTATCAGCGAAAATGTCAAATTAAAATCTTAACCCATAGAGAATTTTATGCAGAATCCAGTGGCGCACAAAAATTTTTTTTCGGGGTGTGGTTTCGAAAATACGACTCAAACTTATGATTTTTTAAATTGAACACCCTGTATTTTATAGGCTCATTAAATTCCTTATTTTTTTCCTTCGAAATGATATATGATGTATGAATATAACATCTTCAAAAATGTTAAAAAATCACTAAAACATTGAATTTTAATAGTGGGCTATGGGTTTTTCGAGGGATTTTCATATAAAGAAATTTACAATTGAAGCAATATTTCCTTTGATTGTTCCATGAAGGGGGAAATAACAATTTCAACACTAACTAATTTGCAATACACAAGTCTCAGATACCTGATACCCACAAATATATAGTAATGAAAAGTTTATAATGTAGAATAAGCACCTGATTGAATATTCACTAAAACAATTGAAGTTCGAAATTATTCAGTGATTTATTCATTGAATTGTTCAAATTGATGTCCATTTTTCATCACAAACTTTCTCAATACATATTAATCATTGAAAGATGTCTTTGTAATTCCTGGAAAACTGCCTCTGTTGTTGCACAAAGTTCTTCAAGTATGTTGGGCCACTCACTGTATTAAGAAGTATTGAGAAAGTTTGTCAACTGTATGTTGGGGAAAATGGATATCAATTTGAACATGTCAATAAGAAGTTACTGAATAATTCCGCAATTCAATTATTTTAGTAAATATTTAATCAGGTGCTTATTCTACATTATGAACTTTTTATTACTATTTATTTGTTGCTATTAGGTACCCAAGTTTAGTGTTTTGTTAATTAATAAGTGTTGATATTGGTTTTGACCTCTCCATGGAAAAATTTTAAGAAATATTTCTTCAAATGGAACGTTTTTCATAAAAAAAATCCATAACCAACTATCAAAATTTAATATTTTAGTGATTTTGAGCAATTTTGAAAATTTTATATTCATATCGTTATATATCATTTTGAAGACAGAAAAATGAGGAATTTAATGAGCTTATGAAATACAGGGTGTTACATTTAAAAAATCATAAGTTTGAGTCGTATCTCCAAAACCATACCCCGAAAAAAAAAATTAAGTGCGCCACTGGATTATGCGTGAAATTTTCTATGCGATGAGATTTTGATTTGACATTTTTGTTGAGAAACTTCGTGGATATAGAGGGGGTCCAAAAAGTATAAATTTTCAAAATCGCCCTGTATCTCATAAACGGAAACAGTCTTGCAAAATCTGATTAGGCCATCTCGAGTTTCACAAAAAAGTAGCACAGGACCGCGAAAACCGCAAGGTTCTAGCTCCAAAGATAACTGAGATATCAGGCAAAAGCATCGAAAACTGGACACACTGTACAAGTGTCTCTTATTATCCCCACCAGTCGCGATTACATTCGTTCATCTGTGTTTGGCGTTAGGGATTGTTGGCGCATAAGTTTCATTCATGTTTCAATGAGGCTTGAACTCAGACAGAAATTGGAACGTACCTACCGACTATTCCAATTTTTTCTCTCGGCCTCACGTGGAAATCAATATTCGTCAACACTTTCTCGTGCGAATTCGTGTACGTCAACGACACATGCTTATACTTGATCTCGCCTCTCATCGGCCAATTTTCCGGCTCCGCTCCCCCGGACTTTTCCGTTTCCGTGTTGGTGTACTCCAGCGCCCTCTCCACCGAGGTCATCAGGTTCTCCGCGTGCGCCCATTCCGACAGGCCCATTTGCATCACCCCCGCCAACATGCCGGCTTGGGTGAGGGTGAGGCCGACGTCTCCTGCGGCCGTACCTGGAAAATAATTTGTTACATACAGGGTGTTGCGGAAATTTCGAGGCTTCGTGCACATATTGGACCAGGTATCGGCCCAGCCGTTAGCCCTAATAGCAAAAAGAAAAGAGAAGTGGAAATGTTAGGTTAGTGAGCGTCTCAACAATAATAATAGCGTTTATTTTTATCTATCCATATATTCCACTGTGTTTGGCACGGTGATCAAATGAAGGTAAACAATATCGTTGTATTCGAGACAAAAATGTTCTGCTGGCCGTGATGATTCAGAAACAAGTTATCCAATCGATCAGATCCCGAGAATGAATGTGATACAGATCAAGCAAGTATGTGAATCTAGAAGGCTTCTCTGATCAAAACAAAAATAAGAGTTCGGACACAGAAATGATAATTGTTAGTATTTTTGAATGTTTGGATTTATTAAGTTGCACACCTTGCATTGTGACAGCAGCATCATAGTCGTTCCGCGCTGTTTCATCCAAAATTGTTCGAATTTGACAATGAATTTTATGACCGTCAGAATTTGAAATATAATTTCATAAACTTTTGAGGAATAAACATGAAAATATCCTGCTCTGTAATGAATTGCGGGAATTCTGAAGGAAATGGCGATTTCATTTCTTTGATCAACCATTCCCTTATAGAAGCGGCATAGATGGAAAATTAATATGAAGACACGCAAAATGTGTAAGGTGAGTACAGGGTGATTCACCATGAATGTCCCCCCCTCTAGCTCATTTATTTTTGAACAGATTTAAACATTTGAAAAATAATCCAAAATGATTTTTCAGAATTTTTTTCCCGTTGCATCAGAAAATACAGGGTGCTCGACACAAATACTCTACAGAGTACTACTTGATTTTTTCAAATGGAACACCCTGTATTCCATTGTATTTTTAGATTCTTCCTGAAGAGCTGATTTCATCAATGCATCACACTTGGTTTCTAGCGGGAATTATTACAGAGATATAGGGTGTTCAAAATCAAGATTTTTCAAGTTTAGGATTTTTTTGTCTCGAAACTATTCATTATTGGTCAAAACGGCTTCCATGTTTCCATCTTAACTTCTGATTCACTGTCTACTGACATTGAATTGGAACATTTACAGGGTGGTTCAAGATTCAAAATTCTGATCACCCTGTATCTGTTCCAATTATCAAATGTCAGTAGATAGTAAATCAAAAGTTAAGACAGCGACATGAAAGCCGTTTTGACCGATGATGAATAGTTTCGTCTCAAAAAAATCCTAAAGTTGAAAAATCTCGATTTTGAACACTCTATATCTCTGTAATCATTCCCGCTAGACCCCAAGTGTGATACATTGACCAAATCAGCTTTTCAGGGAGAATCTAAAAATAGAATGAAAAATAGGGTGTTCTATATAAAAAAATCAAATAGTACCCCGTAGATCGTTTGTTCCGAGCACCCTGGAAAAAAACTATCGAAAATCATTCAAGATGATATTTCAAATTTTGAAATCGGTTTAAAAATAACTGAGCTAGCGGAGGGGGACATTTATTGTGAATCACCCTGTACATTAAAATTTCAGAGCCATAAATTTCAAGATATATTTTTTCTAGAAATGACTGGAGAGGCCTATTCTATCGATGGATTTTCGAACGTTATTTAAGAACTCACATTCTAAAAAAATGTATTTTTCTGCAACCGACACAAAAGTCGTCCATTTTGATACCAAAATTAGCTCTTAAATTGACGTTTCTATTACTGACACAAAAATAGGTGGGTTGCTAGGCAACATATTTAGTTCCTAGGAGCTAAAATTGAATTTTAGTTACTAGGAGCTAAAGTTGAACTTTAGCTCCTAGGAACTAAAAAGGAAGTACTGGACGTCATCAAGAATGAACAACATTGTGACGGTTGGTTATTTGGGTTGAGACGCGTACCTGATTTGTTTCCGATTTCAGCAGATTTGGAATTTCATACCCATGCTGAAGATATAAATACACCTTATTATAGTTTAGTATTGGAATTATAAACATCTCAGCTAAGTATTTTTGTTTGATCAGGAAAGCCTTCAAGATTCAAATACTTGCTTGATCTGTATTTCATTCGTTATTCTCGGGATGGATAACTTGTTTTTGAATAATCACGGCAAGCAATAGTTTTTGTCTCAAACAACGATATTGTTTAGCTTCATTTGATTATTGAGCGAAAAACATTGTTTTATAGAGAGTTGGAAATAATCGCCATTATCATTGTTGATATGCTCATTAACCTAACATTTTCCACGTCTTGCTCCTATAGCTGGCACTGGCGCGGTATTTGCTATTAGAGCACCTGGTCCATACACAAATATGTCACTCTGTGATTGTACTTATATTGAAACTGCAATTCGAACATCCTTGAAAATTGAATGAACCTGCTGTTGATGCTGGTAGAATGTTCTCACCACACGGATTATTTTTTCAATATTTGTTGCATTGCATACATATGGCACGGTATTGGTGGTAACTTCACATATTTATTTGATTTATTTGTTTCGTTTGCAGAAAAAATAGCATGTTTCATTCGGATCAAAAGTGACTTTGTTCGACTCGCAAATTTTGCTTTCGCTCGGCTTCGCTAAACGCTCCGCCTCGCAAATGCAAAATTCGCTTGTCAAACAAAGTGTCACTTTTGATCCTAATAAAACAATCTACTATTTTCTCCAAATGACATTAAAAGTGGCTTTTTAATGACACTTAACAGGCAGAAAAGGTGTACTTCCACTGCCAAGGCAGAAAAAGTTTGTTGCTATGCAACGTTCCAAGTAATTTGAATCACAATTGACAATGATTTAGGGTGAACAACAAATGGTGGTGGACTTTGCGTGAAATTATATGTTTCATATGGCAGGAAAGAATATGTAATGCCTTGGTTGGTTTCCTAGCCTCGGCTACGCCTAGGCTATGAAACGCCATTCGCGGCATTAAATCTTGTACTGTACTTCTGCCTAGTCAAATAAATGACTATTATCGATTACTATACAGTTTGAAATGTTGAAACGTATTCACTCTGTATAATTGACTTACCGGTATCGAAGAATAAAAATCGTCCGATGATGAAGGCTTCATAGATGGCAGAGAAGACGTCCATGTACAGAGAGAAAGCGCCGACAGCACAAACCGACGTGAAATAGGCGCTCGTGTATAAATCTTGATGTTTGTCGAACTCAAATTTGAGGATTTCTTCGGCTCGGTACGCTCGAATTGTCGTTAATCCTTCCAGTGTTGAGTTCAGGTGACCAATGATAGGACTTCGAGCTTGACAAAAAAAAACAAATTAAACATGGTTGATATATTTGACAAATTGATTTTCATCAAACAGAACGTGGAATGAAAATCTGAATTGAAGAAACCTTATCACCAATCTGCGATTGAAGGTCTATAAAAATTACAAGTTTTCATCGTTCAAGTTTGAACTCCTTAAAAAGTCAGGAAAGTAGTTTTTTCTATTGAAATGTGCATATACATATTTTTATCTGAGGGAAAATGCAAATTCTCAACTTCAGAAGTTTCTGTTTTCAAATTCTTATCGTGTGTATTAGGATGTTTTCCTCCGATTGGCAGCAAATATTAATTTTGCTGACACATATCAATCAGCATAGTATTACTTTTCCTGCCTAGGCAGCAAAGTGGGTACTTTGCTGCCTAGGCAGCAAAGTGGTTACTTTGCTGATTGATATGTATCAGCAAAATTAAAAATCCATAAATCGTTTATAATTTCCTTCATATTCCATCCGAGACTTCTCCGGCAACAAATTCAACTCTATTTTTTTTTGCCACCTCCCTTATTAATGGAGGTGTAAGTATACTTCCAGGTCGCTATCACTGTCCATTATATAATAATTCGAATATACCGATATTTTTTCGCACAACTGTCAGAAATTTCATGAATTGTCAAACCAACAACTGCGATTTCTATCAAATTTTATTTTAATTGAACACTATACAGGAAGAATAAAGAGATTGTGGAAATTGTATTTTTTGCTGCCTAGTTAAACAAATAACTATTTTCTGTAGTTTTAAATGTCATCGCAACGTCATCTGAAGTCTTTGGCGACTTTTCTTCTATTCTTTTATTCGTTATCCAATTTGAAATTGCTTAGAAAATAAAAACGACTTGGTCTTCACTGAAACTCACCCATATATTCCTCAGACCAAAATAATTCGATGCGTGCAAAGAAGTTACAATTTCCGAATCGTTTTTGCTTCATAACTTTGAAACGGCTCATGAGATTCTACTCAAATTTGGTACGTTGGTATACCTATTCATTAGACAATAAAACCCATACCATGATAATGATAAATGTCATTTCATGGGCGTAGAACTTTATTTTCTAAGTAAATAAACATCTAAAACTTCTACGCCAATGAAGAGAAAGGGGTTGAATATGAAATTTGGATAGCTTAACTAGTTCACTACAAAAAGGTGAACCTCATATAATTTGATTACTCCCATGGTTTCAACAAAATTTGAATTTTAGTTATTCAAAGTATGAGTTGACGATTACAGATATGTCATCAACATTGTAGCCGTGGAAGCAAAATGAAAGCCAAAAATTGAAAAATTGACTATGGAAACCATACGTCACTTGATCACAGTTGCTACTACTGTGATATTTTATTTTCATTCGTCGGCGTTATAAAAAGCCGCCAAAAAAAATATTGGAAAAATTGGGAAAAAAACAATACTTTGTAGGTCCATAACTTAAATAGGAACATACAACTTTTTCTTGCCTGTACTATTCAGCATAACCATTCCTTTCTAATGATATAATACAAAGTCATTTTTTGAAATGAAATACCAGAAATTTCAATTATAATTTGTTTCTGATCTAGTTTCTGGTTAGATACCAACTTGTGATATGTCATTAGAGAGGGAATTGAATGCTGAATAAAGCGAAAAGAAAAAAATAGGGTTTCCATTCAAAATAAGAAAGTTGATGTTACTTCCGATCAGACCGGAAGTTAACTTCGACATGTCAATATACTCAAATTCTAGCTCTTATGTCATTATATCGACGGTCTAAATTTCACAAACCTACTTCATACAATAACTGAGATATTCCGTAGGCAATACTTCCGTAGCCACCCGGTATATTATGTTCATCAGTTCCACGTATACAAAGATGAATACGGAGGAAAAAATGAATACAAGCAAATACACCTCGGGCGCCAGACGGGTCTGGCTTACTCAGTACAAAAAAGCGACAAAAATTTCCTCATACATATCAATTATGTTCGCCGCAAAGATTTATTTGTACGTGAAAGTGATGAAAATGTTTAACAATTTTGAGAAATATGTCTCAATCGTTTCAGTGTTTACTGATGTTCGATGATGATGATGATCGAATTTTATCAAGAGTACTCTTATTTCTAGGACATTGGAAGAGTACCGTTCATGTACCAATTGGGACATCCAACGGATATCCCTAAGGGACATTTCGATTGTTGTACGATCCTGGAAATATTGAGGGCGTCTTTACAGAGATATTTGAAGGAATGTACCATCAGGGACATTTCATGGTTGTCTAGAAGGGACATTATACAGGGCGGTTCCAGAGATATTGGGGAATAACTGATTTTTTTGTTAAATTTCAACATCCTGTATCTCAGAAACGAAGCTGTTACGGACCTATGTTCACATGAAGAATTTTTCTTAAAATCATCCAAGGATTATCGCCCTTTAGGATCAGCATTCAATTATGAAACACCCTCTGTATAAGATCTGAAGTCATGCCAGAATATGTACTACTCAGGACATCCGATGGATGTCCCTAAAGGAACGTTTAAAATCATATCCCATCAGGAACATGCCAAGAACGTCCTTGCATGGGCATTCTACAATATGTACCACGTGGGACGTTTAAGGGATGCTATTTCTAGGACATTTGAAATGATGTACCAGCTGGGACATTCCGTGGACGTCCTTGCTTGGACATTGCATGAGATGTACGGGATGGGACGTCCCAAGGACACTTATTTTTGGTTCGGGACATTCGGACGTGAATTGTACCTGATAGGGACGTCCCTAGGACGTTGTGTGCTATTAGGGTGTAGACCACCCCGGCATAAGTTGAAATATTACGATTTTTTCTTTTTTCGAAAAACTAAAAAAAAATTTTAACTCACTTGCAGCCTCGAGTCTTTTGAGACTTCTCGATGTGGGAATGTAGATGTAACGCATCGCCACTAGTGAAATAAGAAGCACTAAGGACGGCACCAGAAACTTCCAATTAACGCTCGCAATCAAACCTACTGTTCCGGCAAGCATGAAACCAGTCTGGAAGAGCAGAAAAAAAAACAATAGTCAACTCAAATCATCAGGTATTATAAATCAGACTTGAATTATACATAATAATAATGTTATTAATAATAATAATACTCGACTTTATTCAGGAATATATAAATAATACAAAATATAATACAATGGAAAGAAAGTTATGTTAATGGTGAATAGGTGAAGTATCCGCTAAAGCTGTTTTTCATTTCGTCCTTCGTGAGCGAAAAAGAGAAAGAAATACCTATGGATAGAACCGTTGATTGATATATTACGCTTATATATAATATATCAATCAACGATAGAACTAAGACCCGTATTTATAGTCGCCCCTTGAGGTGACCTCGCTCCTTGAGGTGACCTCGTCCCTTATCATCCTTAAGGACCAGTCTCTAATTCATAGTCGTAATAGCAAATACCGCGCCAGCGCCAGTGCCAGGTATGGGAGGAAGGAGTGAGAAATGTTAGGTTTTTTTTATATTCCGGTTTCCACCAAAAAGGAATATCCTGTAATGTTCAGAGAACATCGTGAGAACCAAGGGAAATAAGGTAGGAGTTGGTGTTCTTCTTGAATTTCTGGAGGTTATATGCCTCAGGGAACACCTCCCTTGGCAATGTGTTCCACAGCCTCAATGTTACTCCTGACAAGCTTATATGTTAGGCACAATGAGATCGTCTTTTATAAAGAAAAGGCATGCTTGTGTTATGTTTGCATTGAAATCTACCAATTTATTGGATTCCCATTCGAGAATTGTAGCCAAGTCCATATTTATGTTGTCAACATGTCTTCCTCGTTGTTTCTGATTTGCCTGGCTGGAATTGGAACCCGGGAAGAGGAGGTGGTATGAAGGTTACTATCATCCGTGAAGCTGTGTACTGGACATGAAGTTGCTTCCAACAAATCGTTGATATGGAGGAGAAATAGTGTTGGTGCTAGAATTGATCCTGCCAACACCAGCATTTATGATAAGAGAGTCAGATGAAACTCCGTCGACCTGCTTGAGAGGAAACTAACTAGCAGAGAACATAGCTGGGGAGGCAAGCCATAAGATGGAAGCTTGGCGAGGAGTCCGTTGGTGCCAGACTCGATCGAATGCCTCGGAGATATCAAGTTCCACGGCTGAGGTTCCACCATATTTTACAATAGATTGCTGCCATATATGTGAGATGTAAGAGAGCAGGTCACCAGTTGATCTCTGATGACAGAAGCCATATTGCCTATCGTTGATAATACCAGAATGTTTCAAGTATTTTATGAGCTCGATGTTGCTGGCTTTCTCCATGATCTTTGAAGTGCGATCGGTCGATAGTTGCTAGGTAGGGTCTTTTTGTCTTTTTTAGGAACTGGTTGTACTCTTGCAATTTTCCAGTTGGACGGAAATATCCCCAATTTGTAAGAGTATAGTTGAACAACTTGCAGAGAACTGGTGTTAGTTCGGGAGCACATTTCTTGAGAACAATCGGTGGGATTCTGTCGGAGCCACAAGCTTTGTTTTTGTTGAGACCCAATGAAATCTTCCTCATAGTACGTTGGCGAAAGGTAATCTCGGGCATATGACTCTAAATTGACGTTATGTTTAGAGGTTCTTTCTTCGAGGAATCCAGAGTATTATTTCCAGCAAATGAATGCGCAAAAATGTTGGCTTTCTCCTGGGCAGTTGTGGCTAGTGTTCCATCTTCCTTGATTAGAGGAGGAAACGAGCTGGATGTGAAGTTTCTTTCTACAGCTTTGGCGACGGACCAAACTGAACGGGATCCGTTAGGACATTCATCAAGTTTTGATCTCATTTTGGCATTTTGAGCATCCTTTGGTGATCGAATTGTCTCATTGCATATGCCTCTAGCCTCGACATATTCTGCTCTAGTCTCAGGACCTAGATTTTTTTGCCATCGATGGAATGCTGCCTGTTTAGAAGCGACATCTCTAGAGCAGTTTCTACTGAACCCGGCCTCATCGGACATCTGGAATGCGGGTTGATGGTAGTTCGACTAGCTGTTCTAGACCATGAGTGATTGCGACATTATCTGTTTCGTTAGAGAATTTGAGCTAGGCTGCATTGTGTACATTGAAGTCTCCCATGATTGTGATTTCAGCTGTTGGATGGTTCTCCTGAATGAAGTCCAGTTTGAGTGTTGAAAATTCAAAGAGATTGGTATATTCATTATCATTAGGCGATAGGTAAAGATATATCGGCATTGGTATCGACTAGCTTGAACCACATCACATCAAAGTCTTTCGGTTCCAAACTCTCTACACGCTGACATGAAAGGTTAGCATTAGCGTAGACGTAGAGGCAGACTCCACCTTTGAACCTGAATCGAGAATGGAGTTCGTAACCAAGACAGAGCATGTAGACGAGTTCACTTGAGTTTCTGTTAGTGCAAAAAGTCCCCTCGAGTACCTCTCGCCCGGAAATCCGAATGGAGAGGTATTTTACTTCCGGAGTGTTTTACTCTAGGAGACTTCATCATCTTCATTCATAGAGGAGAGGAATTGTAGAAAAGGATGGGGGGAGACCTGAAAGTATCGACCGAATACACACAGCACACAAAGTCGATATGGTGGTATTTCACCGGTCGATGAGACCATCTACCACCCGAAGTTATCCTTTTAGTCGCCTTCTACTACAGGCAGGATTTAACATGGGGGGTTATTCTGATCCGCCCCCATACGGATTCAGAAAATAGAAAAGGACAGATAAAGTTCAGCTATGTCCGTACTCTTATCGACTAATCCAGTAACTTTAATTTAAAGTGCCTAATATTCAGAATCACTCTGTATGTCGATCGATTTTTCTCTCTCTCTCTCTATCTCTCAGGGAAAGAAGAAGAAGAGGATTTGGATCTGGAGGTTCCATTTCGAACAAATATCACAAATTACGCCAGATTTCTCTGAAACTTCGATAAATTCACAATCTTTGGTTCAAAATGTTCGGGTTTTTTGGCTGTATAGTAGTGATAAAAAATGAAACTCACCCCGATAAGCATGCTCACTACATGAGGCAAAACTTCGTCCACCACGTACAAGTCCTGGGAGAACCTGTTCAGGATATTGCCAACGAAAAAGTTGTCGAAAAACGCCATCACTGACTGGACAACAGACTTTATCATGGTCTTGTGCAGGTAGAACGACGCGTTCACTGAAAATAATAATGATGATAATAAAATTAGTGCGACTGATAAGGCTTGGAAAGCCAAAAGAGCCTGCCTCGCATAAACTGAAAATCAATTAACGAGAAATTATATGAGATATCTTATTCATTTTTGGAATTATTTGATCACTAGCTTTATTTACACGCGGGTTCACTCGCGCTGAAGCTCTTGTATATACTGGGTGGGTCACGGTGGATGGCCTATATTAGAAGTATCTGGAGAACGAAAGAACAGAACATTCTGAAAATTTGAATGCTTCGATAATTGAACATTCTCTTTTCGTCTAAAATGTTTTCATCCATACAGTGTTGCCACTTCTATCAGAATCAGCTAGCAACTTTGTTATTTCAGATGGAGCACCCTGTATTTTATTGCATGTTCAGATTCTTCCTGAAGAGCTGATTTCATCAATGCATCACACTTGAGGTCTAGCAGGAATGATTACAGAGATATAGGGTGTTCGAAATCGACATTTAATTGGAACAGTTACAGGGTGATTAGAATTCTGAATCTTGAAGCACCCTGTATTTTTTCCTATTAAATGCCAGTAGATATAGTGAATCGAAAGTTGAAATAGGGACATGTACAGGGTGGGCAAAATTGGGCGTTTTCATAGGCAATCTCAGTAACTGAGGGAGTTATCAAAAAATCGATATACATGTTACGGGTTCGATTTCAGAGAAACCTCGAATGGTACAATTGGAATTTCGATATCTTCATTCGTTTCAGAGATACAGGGGGAAATCGAAAAAGGTCCGATTTCGTTTTCTGAGTACTTTATGAAGAGAGATATTGAAAAAATTCAAATTTTCATCTATATATATAATGATTGGCATCATCAGAAATTTTATACAGGGTGACATCAAGAAGATACGGCGGTCAATTATTTTTTTTCTAATGGAATAGCATTTTCCAGAGATGTCGGTGATTCCATAGTTGCTGGCGAGCAGTGTTATCACTGGAGATGATCCCACTTGATCCTCGAGTGTATCATTGGCATCTCTCTCACAGCTGCGAATGTCGTAATCCTACCACAATGATTATTACGGAAGATACAGAGGTGCTACAAGGGTGCAACCATGAGAAATGTGACACATTGAGTATATTTTTGCGAATACTTCTGAAGTTGTCGAAGAAAAAGGTAGGTTAGTATATATATTTGAATATGGAATGCCTAGGACTATCCAACTGTGCTGAAATATACGGGGTGTTCCATTAGAAAAAAAATAATTGACTGCCGTATCTTCTTGATGTCACCCTGTATAAAATTGCTGATGATGCCAATGGATTCTACGCATCATTCTATATGGATAAAATTTTGAAATTTTTCAATATCTCTCTCCATAAAGTACGCAGAAAATAAAAACGAAATCGGCAATTTTTCAATTTCCCCCTGTATCTCTGAAACGAATGAAGATATCTAAATTCCAATTGTATCATTCGAGGTTTCTCTAAAATCGAACCCGTAACATGTATATCGATTTTTTGATAACTCCTTCAGTTACAGAGATAGCCTATGAAAACGCCCAATTTTGCCCACCCTGTACGTCGTTTTGATCAATAATAAATAGTATCGACACAAAAAAATCCTAAAATTAAAAAATCTCGATTTTGAACAACCTACATCTCTGTAATCATTCCTGCTGGACCCCAACTGTGATGCATTGATGAAATCAACTCTTCAGGAAGAATTTGAAAATGCAATAAAATACAGGGTGTTTCATTTGAAATAACAAAGTTGCTAGTAGTAGAATTATGATGGAAGGATTATCTAGACACGTGTCTACGTTTATTTCTCTATTAGGGCTATGTCCAATAATGTTATCCTTGTTTGCTCAATACAATTCCCTCAATAATCATTCCATCATAATTCTACTCCTGGACTCGGATGTCACGCAGGTAGCTATAGCTGCCTCCGTAGTGACGTTAATTGTAGCCCTGAAAATGCAGGGTCTGCTGACAGAAACCACAATTGTGCGGCTGGCTTCAAGTTTTTTGATTCCGTCGATTTGTTGTTTCTTCTTCCACCAAGTGTTACCTATCTTTTACACACTTTTTTCACTGTACTGATGAGGGTCGAAAGCCCGAAACACGTGTCTACGGTTAACTTTTTATGAGGGCTATGTCCAATGATTTTATCCCTATTATCGTTATATGCATCTGAAACTTTACCTATGAACTTCGTCAACAGCAGGAACTTGATGATCTCCAGGATCGACGAAGAAATCAACAAAACCGAATAGAGATTGAGAGATTTGGCAGCTTGAACTTCCAATCTTTGCAAACCGGCGATCCGTTCCAATGTTTGGTTGATCGTCGAGTTGAACGGCGCGTCAACTGTCAAGTTGAACTGCGGGTCAACTGTCATGTTGACGAGGCCAGACTCCAATTGGTCGAGGTCGATGGACGTGTTGCCGAAATATTTCTCCATGGAGCTGGTCAGGTTCGTTTGGTGGTTCACCCTGTAACGAGAAACGAGTTCAAAGGGTGTTCCTAAATGTAATTTATAGTGCATCTCATTTTGATTGTGGCTGCTAGGTCTCTCGGTTGTTATTGGAGATAGAACCTTGCGGTTTTCACATTCTTATCCTACTTTCTCCTACGAGCGTGCGGAAAAGTAAGTTTTGCGCATGATTTTTCGTTTTGAAAGTTTTCTGTACGATTTCACTTTCCCGCACGATTCCGAAGGAAATACCAGGAGATATATAGCTCAGTTATTTTTGAACCCATTGCAAAATTTCAAATATCGTCTATAATGATTTTCGATAGAGTTTTCGTCCGCTACATCAGAAAATACAAGGTGCTCGGAACAATCGATCTACAGGGTACTATTTGATTTTTTTAAATGAAACACCCTATTTTTCATTGTATCTTTAGATTCTCCTTGAAGAGCTGATTTCATTAATGTATCACACTTGGGGTCTAGAGAAAATGATTACAGAGATATAGGGTGTTCAAAATCGAGATTTTTCAACTTTAGGATTTTTTTGTGACGAAACTATTCATAGATCGCGTGCACAATGACCGACCCTGGAGGCAAAATATTGAAACACAACCTCATTCTTCTGTGAATTATTGAAACACAACCTCACTTTTTTATTTGGTTACAGAGGAATCAAAGGATTGAAATAGTTTTTCACAATATTTTGGCATAGGAATCGTGTTTTTTGCGCTATTCATTAATTCTAGCATGCATTCGCATTGTGCTGTTGTACAATGCACAAAAAATGCAGCAAGAGACTAAAGGATATGATTTTTCAGGTAGATAGTAATCTCACATAGTTATCATTATGAAATGTTGTCATTCCTTATTAAAATTCCTTCTGCCTTCTGCCACCTCTGCAATACAAGCTAATACTGCTAATAGATTGAAAATATCTACAACACACACGATCGTCAGCATGTCAGACCAGTCCTCCGGATTGATTGCATGAATCCAATCTTCTTGCATTGTTTCAGAAATTTCAGGTGTATTTCTATATTAGCTTCTATCGCAGAAAGAATTCCGATGAGAAATCAGAGAAATTACCAAATTTCAAAAATGAAAACTATATGTAAGTGACTATAGTAGGTACTAACTTTTAAATCATATTGTACCAACCGGATTACTTCGTCTTCCGCTGCAGTTTTTGTGCATTTCACAACAGCATAATGTGATGGCATGAGCGAATTGATGAATAGCGGAAAAATACGATTCGTATGCCAAAATAATTGTGAAAAACTATTTCGATCACTTGTAAACAAATAAGAAAAGTGACGTTCTGTTTCAATGTTTTGCCTCCAGCGTCGGTTATCTGACAGTTCTTGCACGCAACCCATTATCGGTCAAATCGGCTGTCATGTCCGTATCTTAACTATTGATCTACTACCTACTTTACATTTAATAATTGGAACAGATACAGGGTCATCAGAATTCTGAATCTTGAACCACACTGTATATGTTTCAATTGAATGTCAGTAGATAGTAAATCAAAAGTTGATATAGGGACATCGAAGCCGTTTTGACCAATAATGAATAGTTTCGACACAAAAAAATACTAAAGTTGAAAAATCTCGATTTTGAACACCCTATACCTCTGTAATCATTCCCGCTAGACCCTAAGTGTGATACATTGACATAATCAGCTCTTCATGGATAATCTGAATATACAATAAAATACAAGGTGTTCCATTTGAAAAAATCAAGTAGTACTCTGTAGATCGTTTGTTCCGAGCACCCTGTATTTTCTGATGCAACAGGAAAAAAATTTTTCAAAAATCATTTTAGATGATTTTCAAAATTCTCAAATCGGTTAAAAAATAAGTGAGCTAGAGGAGGGGACATTTATGGTGAATCACCCTGTACTCATAGCGACAGTCGCTATAAAATGACAGTAGTGGCAGTCAACAAATAAGCATTTCAAGCGTGATTTCTTCGTGTACGTGATTCCAATCAAAAATGGACTACTCAGGAAACTTTCAAGATCTCCCCCCGGAAATAATTGATGCAAACACTAACCAATCAAATTCAAATGAGTAACAAATATCACAGCATGCAACAAACACAAATTATACTTTCAATTTCAATATTTACCTTTTTTTTTTTTTTCTTTTTTTTTTTCATCGCTTGGAGCGCACGAAAGGGAATCCCTATTATGTTCAAAGAACATCGTGCGTTCCTAAGGATGATAGGGATAGGAGGTAGATATTGGAATTTTTTTTGACTTTTGGAGATTATATATTGTTGGGAATACTTCCTCAGGCAATGAATTCCAGAGCCTAACCGCTCTATGGATGAAGGAGTTTTGATAAAGTGCTGTTCGACATCTTTCGAGGTTGACGACGAAAGGATGTGCTGACTGGGCTTGTCTAGTTCGTCTGACAGGTATTGCTAGTGAAGGGATGATAGCAGAGATTTCCGAAGCACATTTCCCGTGGAAGTATCGATAGAAAAGTGAAAGGTCACCGACCTTTTTACGGTGTTCCAATGATGTCAAAGAGTGAGTGAGTGTGGCGTCACCCACTAGGCGAATGACTCTTCTCTGGATGGAATCTGAGAGCATCAGCGTATGTTTTGGTGCTGAACCCCATATGTGGGAACAGTATTCTAGAACAGGCCGTATCTGCGCTTTGTAGATCATGAGAAGCTGTTGAGGTGTAAACGAGGTGTAAAGTAGCTTTCCGCACGGAACAAGAATCCGAGTTTTTGTGAAGCAGCTTTTGCGATGGATCTGAAATGATTATCCCATGAAAGAGTGTTGCTGACGGAAATACCGAGCATAGATATCGTGGGCTTGGTGGAGATGTTGGTGCCAGACATTACAATATCGGGCATACTGAGTTCCGCCTTTCTAGAGAAAATACAGGCTTGAGTTTTGGTGGCGTTGAATTCAACTAGGTTGTTTGTTCCCCAGGCTGTGATTTCAGCAAGATCTTCATTGACAGCATTGACCTGCCTGCGCCGTGAGTTCTTAGTTTCCTGGGAAGAAATGGGAATTCTGGAAGAGAACGCAGTATGGAGGGTACTATCATCTGCAAAGCTGTGGATGGGGCAAGTTGTTACTCCCAACAGATCATTGATATGAAGCAGGAATAATGTTGGTATTACAGATATTGATAAAAAACTATAAATTTTGAAAACCTAACCACCCTGTATCTCAAAAGTTAAGACGTTTAGGTCATACGTTCATATGAAACTTTCTTCTTAGAATAGGCCCAAGAATCGCCTGCCCAAATATTGACATCAAATTATGAAATACCCTGTATATGGGGATAGAAAATTTTGAAGAAGTATTTCGTGCTTACCAATTCGTTAACATTTTATTTGACGACGAATCGCTGAACGTAGAAGTACCATAAAACAGCACGATGACCAGCAGGAACCACAGCCCTCCTCCGAACTGCACATACTTATAGTACAACTTCGAATCGACGGCGCCTGTCTTCTTCTCCTCGTGATAGACCTATGATGGTGATAAGGGGGAAATATAATTTGATGATCAAAATTATTAAAGTATGCTGACCAAGCATTTCTGGTTCGAATTTTTCTTTCAAATTGCATATTCGAATATTTCATGTGAATATAAAGGGTGTCTGTAAAAGGTTGGGAAATGGCTCGGCTGTGGACTCCTGGGATAGAAACAAGTTGATTCAGGCCAACTTACCTATATCCAAAATCGTCTCGTTGAGTTGGTACAAGGCGTTGAAGTTTTTTTGGGAAAAAATATTTTGCTCATAAAAATAGTAGGCTGAGATCGAATTCCATAATTTTTGACATGGCATGTTCTGTGACTTTAAGTAACGTTTTGAGTTGTTTTTGTTCATCATCAATGACCTGCAAGTGTTTCAAACAACCGTGTTGCCGTACAAATCTGGTGATAACTTCTCAGATGTCAGACTTGAAACTTTCAGTTTTTTTCCAGAAGGATATTCCCTTCAGAAATATTTTATGTATCGTGTTAATTACTGATAAGTCTCGAGGTTCATTTGCAAATAAATAATTTCTGATCTGATGCATCCTGCGCATTTTTGAAAATTAATCTAATTAGTCGGATTGTTCATTGATCATGACTACAATGTATTCTTATTCAAACTGATATGTTGCTGGTCCTCGCGGGCTTCACAAGAACTCTCGCGTTACAAATTTAGCGATAACTATTCATTACCCAAGGTGAGCACTTTGGAGCCTTGTACCAGCTCAACGAAACGATTTTGGATATAGGTAAGTTGGCCAAAATCAACTCATTTTTATCCCAGGAGTCTATACAGTCAAGCCATGTCCTAACGAGATTATTTTTCTAAAAGAAATTATTTATTTGAAAATGAACCTTGAGACTTATCAAAAATTAACACAATACAAATAATATTTCTGAAGGAAATATCTTTCTGGAAAAAAATCTGAAAGTTGGCAGTCCCACCTCTGAAAAGTTACAAATATCGATCTCAGCCTACTCTTTTTAGGAGCAAAATTATTTTTCAAGGCCTTGTACCAACACAACGAGACGATTTTGGATATAGGTAAGTTGGCCTAAATCAACTTGTTTTTATCCCAGGATTCCACAGTCGAGCCATGTCCCAACCTTTTACAGACACCCTGTATAGATGCCATCCCTTCAGAGGAGTAGTTTATTCTTGCAGTTTATCAAAAATCCTTGATGACCGAGCATTTCTGGTTCGTATATTCCCATCCAAATTACTTATTCAGATATCTCATAAAGATTTATTGATGCCACTAGTGGAATCATCTCGATCCACCCCTTTAGAGGGGTAGTTTATTCTCGAAGTTTTTCAAAAATCCTTGCTGACCGAGCATTTCTGGTTCGTATTTGTCCATCAAATTATTTATTTGGATATATAGGTTTATAGATGCCATCATTGGCATTATTTCGATCCACCCCTTCAGAGGAGTAGTTTATTCTTGCTGTTTCTCGAAAATCCCTGTTGTTCCAGCATTTCTGGTCCATATATTTCCATCAAATCACCCCCTGAAGGAGTGGATCGAAATAATTCCACTGATGGCATTCATGAACCAATATGGGATATCCAAATATGTAATCGGATGGAAAAATACGAACCAGAAATGCTCGGTCAGCAAATATGTTTGAAAAACTGCAAGACTAACCATCTGAAAGTAAGTCAGATGAAACTCCGTCGACCACTACATGTAGAGACCTGTTTGAGAGGAAACTAGCTAGCAGAGAACATAGCTGGGGAGGCAAGCCATAAGATGGAAGCTTGGCGAGGAGTCCGTGGTGCCAGACTCGATCGAATGCCTTGGAGATATCAAGTACTACGGCTAAGGTTTCACCATATTTTTCAATAGATTGCTGCCATATATTGTCACGAATAGGGTTATTTTCCTTAATTTCATTCGAATTCATAGAAGGTTCGAAGTCATTGAACGGTCACGTCTTTGTTTATTAATTCCAAAATTTTCGAATCGTGAACGAACTTTTTTCCATAGTAGTTGAACATAAACACAGGCGTTACATTGACTTCAACGAACCTGGACTATCGACCTGATTTTCTTACTATCACGTTTCCGAAAATATAGACAACTATTTAAAAGACGTAAGGAAGCGGGTTCGACAGTTCGACTACCGGTTCGACTGCGAGTTCAACTGACATTTCGAGTTCTAGCTCTGTTTTTGTTATACGAGTTAGGGAAGTCTAAGTTCTACCGATTGTAAGTTAGTAAAGTTGCCACTGTGCCCGAATCTTCGGAGTTCGGGCAGAACAGAAGATGCCCTTCCTCAGGCTCCCAGAAATACCACTTAATTTTGTACATATAGGGTAAATTAAGTTTTGATTTCATTGTTATTCTTTGCCAAGAATAAATGTGTGTACATGTTATGTTTGAGAACCTTCCGAGTATTATTTATCATTATCTCTTCTTGAGTTCATTCTCTAATGGATCAAGAACACAACTCAGGCAACCCCCGCCTACAGTTTGTGACAATATGTGAGAAGTAAGCGAGCAGGTCACCAGTTGATCTCTGATGACGGAAGCCATATTGCCTATCGTTGATAATACCAGAATGTTCCAGGTATTTCATGAGCTCGATGTTGATAGCTTTCTCCATGATCTTTGAAATGATAGGTAGCAGTGCGATCGGTCTGTAGTTGCTAGGTAGGGTCTTTTTGCCTTTTTCAGGAACTGGTTGTACTCTTGCAATTCTCGAGTTGGACGGGAATATTCCCATTTTGTAAGAGTAGTTGAACAACTTGCAGAGAACAATCGGTGGGATTTCGTCGGAGCCACAAGCTTTGTTGGTGCTGAGACCCAATAAAATCTTCCTTATAGTACGTTGGCGAAAAGTGATCTCAGGCATATGACTTTTGATACTTAAATACTGTCTGTAGAATGATCGTGGAGGTGGTACATTCATTATTTCATTTTTTTGGGATGTTCTCTCCTCGTCTCTATATGAAATGAAAATATGAATACAGTTTCAATATATTCGATTGCCAACAACACCAATATTGTCACTGAGAACTGAAAAGTGAAGACAAATAGGAATTTGCAATACAAAAAATCCATTTTTATGTTGGAAACGGGAGCAGAATCGTTCCCGAAACGTCCAGAGATGAGTGAAAATTTGATATATTTTCTATATACCTTTATTTCTCTTCTCCAAACCTTTTTCAACATAAATTGTCACTGACAAGCTAGTGAATTTGTCTTTCAGGCTCTCTGATAGGAAATAGTAGTTTACCTAACAAGTGCAAGTGCAATCGCGTGCGGAAAAGTCACTTTACGCACGTGTTAGGTACACTATTTTTTCTACTAGCGTGCGGAAAAAACCCAAATCGAGGTTTTTTTTTAGTTTGATTACACTTTTTAACATTGAGTACCTGGACCAAAGAGTGTTTGGCTTGCATGTTTTGGAAATTTCAGCGTAATAAGCCAACAAAAGGTCTCTTCTTTGAAACTTTTGATACCCTTATTCTGGCACCAGTTTTCAAACAAATCATATTCCTTTTCATACCTGTGACGGAATTTTGATGGTATAGTAGATCCAAGTTTGCAGTTCTAGCCGCTTCCATAACTGAGTGCGGAAAAAACTTTTTTCTACTCCTTACTCGGTAAGTACTTCATTTTGATACTGATTTGAGGGAGGAAAACACGTTCTACCTCCCTAGGGAGGTAAGTAAATATTTACCTCCCTAGGGAAGCAAGTTAAATAAACTTCATAATTTAACCTAAAAATTGAACTCTTTATTTTAAATTAACATTTATAGTACAATTTGAAACATTACAGTTTGAAAAATGTGGGGAAACCTCTTGCAGCTGTTTGGAAACTTCTACTGTTGTGCTTATGTTATCAGAAATTCTTGTTACAGCGCTGGTCAATGTGGTAGGCAGATGAATAGCAGATGAATTTGAATCGCTGTTATTCTTGTTATAAAGAATTTTGTTTGCCACCTCGTTCTTATTGCAAACACTATCAGCAACATAACCTTCAGCAACCGTCTCCGACTTCCAGCCCCCATGTCTTTTAAGAGCTAAAACACTTGAACCAGTGTTAGCTAATAATGTGGCAGACGTTCTTCTAAACGAATGGCCAGTAGTGATACAAAGCCGTTTGGTCGCCAGAGCTTCAATAAAATGCCGCTAGTTAGCGTTGGCGCTGGTGTCGCTGGTGTCGCTGGTGGCGCGAAGTTCAAATTTGCAGATGGCGGCGGCGCTGATGGCGGTAAATTTGAAATTGTGAGGTTATGACATCTTAATCATGATGAATTTTTAAATAAATAAATTAAAAAAAGCTGTCACCGCCGGTGGGGGAAATTGAACCAGGGACCTTTGCATTATGAGGCAGCGTATATACGCACTGCGGTATTCCGACCTCCGTGATATTTCAATTATTTAAATGCTATTCAAACGGGATATCCATTGCTGGCGCGCGCTTATCTTTGCAACGGATCCATCGAGGTAGAGTGAAGCGAGAGATGCATTCCAGAGATAAGAAACTTCGAGTCGAAAATAATATCCATCGCAGGCGCGCGCGCGCTTATCTTTGCAACGGATCTATCGAGGTAGAGAGTAAGGCGGCTCGAGCGCTCGGCGCTGCAACGTTGTCGGACGTATGTGTTTGGATGTTAATATTGTTACATTATTGTGTGTGGCAACGCTGTCTCGCTTCATGGCGTTCGAAGATCTAGCAAAGCGAGAGATCCCTTAGAATGATAAGCGCGCGCGCGCTCGTATTGGAAACAAATACTTGAATAATTAATTATTTATTTTTATAGTGGGTGACGCGTCATGCTGTTGTTTTTTTTCTTCTGGTAAAATGACATCACGTGACGTGTGTGTGGGTACTCTCTCAAAATAGGATTTTTTATGGACAATTCTCGGAAATGCCAATATACCTATATGCAAAGTCGCATGGTTTGAGGGATATCGTTCTACCATTGACATATGTCATTAATGGTACATATATGCGAAATGAAACTACTACTACTA